GCAATTCATGTGGACTTAACCTCTGCTGGGCAAGAGAGGTGCAGCTCTCAGATTGGGCGTCACTGGATGGAACTGCGCTACACCCCCTGAAACCCAATCCCTTGCCTTATTGGGGTTGAACTTTCTCAAATGTCTTCCCTTCAATAAATAGGATGGTCTCAGGTGTGCTCTCTCTCTTTTGCCTGCCTCTCTTGCCTCCCTTGTGGGGGCTGGGGCAGAGGAGCCATCACTGAGCCCCAAGAAAAAGCTACATTCTGTGTCCGTGGGATTATGTAGYGCCAGCCTAATTCACCTGGATTGACCCTGACTGATTTAGTCCCATGTTGTGGCAGGTGGTGCATGAACAGGGACAGGGACACCCCAGGGTGAATTTTAAGAATTAGTGGGTTTGGCTTTCTCTTCAGTAGTCAAGCATGCTTAATTTTTCAGAATATTATGGATTGGTTTGTTAAAAGTAAAGAATTAGATAGAACAAAGCGAGTGATGTTAAACTTATAACTTGTGGAATTTTTTGTCTTCAGAAAAGCAAAAAAAGAATTTATTTTGCAATTCTGAAGACTATAATTAGGAGTAGAGAAAAAGAAATTAGAGAATTGGAGGTCCCACATTATTAAGGTGATTGATAAAATATATGTTGCTAAATTCAGCCCAGTCCCATTGAGTGACGTCTAATCCCAGAGCTTCACCTCTCTTGCCCAGCAGAGGTAAGTCCACATGCATCACAGAGAATGTGATGCCATTTCAGTACCTTCTTACTCAAGGCTTTAAGAGGTATACTTAGCTCTTCTTCATGGAGGCCCCCAACAGCTACCTCCATGGAACGTAGCCTCCGGATGATGGCTGTATCATGGAACGTACAGTAGACCTGCTCCCGAATAGGTTTATATCCAATGGGAAAAACAGACATTAATCAAATAGCCACATAGATACATAATTACTAAGGTGTTTAGTCCTGTCTTTAGAAGAAAGAGAGATGTATTCCAATAAGAATGGTAGATCCTAATCAGAGGATATCAGAGAAGGTGGGGATCTCAGGTGAGGGGCTTTCTGCATAATGGCACTGGAGTAGAGATTGTGTGGCCCATAGACAGCTATAAGCAGGCCAGTACAACMTTGGGTATTAAACGAGGAGATTACACAGAAGCCTGGAACCATGATATTTGTGCAAGTAGAATTTCCATCGCAAAGAGTATCTGCCCTACCTCCATGGACCTCCAGTCTCAGTGTGCTCAGGATCTGTTGCTGTCCACATTTACATGTCTTCACAAGGCTACAAGGATGTTGATGTGTCTATCTATCAGGAAAGGTCATTTCTATGGTTTTGCTTCCCAGACCATYACTTCTATTCATGAGACATTGCTCATGAAGATCAGCTATGCTCACTAAAATCATGTGCATGATCAAAATTAGCTTAGGATAAGGTTATATGTACAGTAAGGTTACAACTGTATTAAAATATGCATTGAAAAAAGACTAGAAGGAAAAATTAATACATTATTATTTAGGAATAATAAAAATATGTAGATGGAATGATAAATGTCATTTTTTTCTTGTTCATTTTCTAGGTGATTAACTTTTAATACTCTTAAAATAGAAAATAATATTGAAAGAATAATAAGGGAATGTCACCACTTGAATCTTTGATTTTTTTCTTTGATATGAAGGACATGCTCACAGGGGTTTTTGAAATGTTTTAAGTGTGAGCCACAGAGGAACACTGGGTTCCTTCACTGCTAGGCTTCTCTGAGACATTCACTGGAGAATAGGCTTGTGAGGTAGGAGCGGGAGAGAGCAGGAACATTCCCTAAGCTTTTGGGAAGCTTTATATGCTGAGATGCTTGGAGGCCTCATGCTTTCTGGAACATGCCCTGGAAAAAATATTGTGGTGTTGGAAAGAAAACAAAAGTGGTGGCTACCTGGTCTACAAGTGAACCCTGTAGCCACGAAAAGCATATTACCCAAATGCTCAAACTGAGAACTCCTAGAAAAGCAAGCTTTAGCTATCTCAAGAAAAATGCCAGTTTTTTGGTTGTTTGTATGTTTTTTTTTTTTTAATTCTGCAAAAGATTCCAGAAGGAAGAAAAGAGAAGTTTGGTGCAGCTGAACAGGTTAACATTCCTGTGTGCTGTAAACACAAGGTGAAATGACCTCAACTCCTGAGTTAAAATACACTCTGCCCCCTTCTCAAATGTTTGCAAACAAAATATAGTAAATGCTTTCATTTCTCAACCACCTCACTATGTAGGACCTTAGAGAAGTGGGCTGAGAGAAGCAAGGCTGGCCCCCTTGGCTCTAGTAGAACTTGGCTCTCGTGTCTATCCAGATTCCAGATAAAAGTGGCTTGCTGTTGCTGCCTCAATACCTTTTATCATATGCCCTTGTGGTTGGAAAAATTTTTGACAGGAAGAATTCAGGAACCCAGATAGGAAACAACAGAATTTTCTACTGTGTAACCCCTGGAGCCTCCTTCTGCACCCTGGGAAGTTTCCCAAGGTTCCAGAGGCCCTGTACCTGAGTTAATCAATGCCCCTTTCTCCCCCAAAGCCTGTTAAAGCCATTTCTGGGATTCCTTTGACAACAAGCTTAGCTCCAGGGCAGTCTGTCCAGCCTGCTTGCTTGCCTTGCCCAAACCAAGTATGTCTATAATTCATTTTTTGTCTGAGGGCAAAATGCTAGTGCCTAGAGGGGCTCCCTGTGGTGCACGAGAAGGCAGGGAACACTGTGAAGATTGACAGGCTCAAGGGTCCTGTACTGCTTCATGGTCTGCAGTGAAGTGCATTGAAGTTGGTCACTCAAGAGGCCCAATCTTTAGCTATTCCTAGTGGTCCGGGGAGGTCTCATTCTTGTCCTAGTTTCTCCCTGGAGGTTCTTAAGTCTTACTACTTGATAAGACAATGTGAGGATGGCAGTGGCRGGGTGGGGTGAGAGCTAAATTAAATGCTTTCRAATGGCAGACCACACTTTGAGGTCCTCAGTGAAATAAGCAGCAAAGTGTGACAAGGGTTGGCTCACATTTCAGAAGTGCCTCCTTTGCTTCTCTTCCTTTTGCTTCCCCATATACTTCCCTCCATGTTTCTCTCTAGGATAGGGATCATAGAAAGTGCATGTGCCACCATATTATCAACCCAAGCCCATGGCAGATGTCATTAATCTCCATGACATTTTTTGCTCCTGATTCAGCTCAGGGATATAACCAAAGTGAGTACAAAGTAATCAAAATGGGCATTTGGCAGTCTACTCCTGGGTAGATACTAAAGAATATGAGAGCTTATTTCCACAAAATGCAATGTGCTAGAATGTCCTTGGCAGCTATACTGCCAACATCCCCCAATGAGAAACAACYCCAACATCCATCAACAGTCAAATGGATAAATGTATTGTATGTACATATAATGAAATATTCTGCAACAATGGAAAAGGAAGAAGTACTGATACATACAGTTTGAATGTACCTTACAGACGCAGGCTAGAGTAAAGTTACACAGAAAGGAGGAGCACACTATGTGAGTCCTGCTGATTGCAGCTCAAAAACAGGCAGAACTCATCAATGGTGATGGAAATCAAGACAGTGGTTACCCTTGAGGCAAAAATGACTGAGAAAGGGTATCAGGAATCCTACTGGGTGGCTAGAAAATGTTCTGTACCCTGATATTCTGTATCTTGAAGCTGGACAGATTCCTCTGCAGCTAGACTTCTATTTGGTGATGGTTATTCAGATGTGCACATGTGCAGAATTTCAGAGATACACATCTAAGATTTGTGTCATCTTTATAGTTAAGTTTACTTAAAAGGGAGTACCAGTTTGAAAAGTATTCTCCATCCCTTGCTTATCCTTCCATGTATAAGGCCATAAGCATACAGTCTTGAGTCTGACTTTGATTCAAATGCAAGCTCTATCACCAATTGGCTTTGTAAATTACTTAACGTTTTTTACTCTAGCTTCTCACCTCTATAGAGGAAATAAAAATAGCACCTATTTTACAGAACTATTGTACTTCATACAACATCTGCCTGGCACATTTAATGCACTCCTGAAATGCAGTGTGTGGTTTTGTTCTTCTCCCTCTCTCCTTTGACCATCTAGTTTTTTCTTTAAGTTGTCTTTTTTCCTCCTCTCCCCATAGTCTTTCTTCCTTTAATCTCCCACTTCATGAAGTTTAAGCATGAATCTTTTAAAATGTATTGAGTCCAATTTTATAGTTAATGACATACTTAAAAAGCAAGTATATTTAGTATTTTCTATGCCTCTCTTTGAAACAAATTCTATATTCACTGAATTAAAATTAGAAGAATGTACTGATTWTTGGAGTGAAGCCTTCAATGTATTAACAGTGATTCCCAAACTTTCCTGCACAATAGAATCACAAAGGATCTCATAAAGAATCCCTAGCCCAGGCCAAATACCAGACCCATTAGATCACAGTATCTGGTGGGGGGGGCGCTGCACAGGCATCATGGTCTGTTCAGCTCTTCAGGTGGTTTCAGTGTGTAGACAAGTCTGGCAACTACTACAGCACTTGCTTTCTGTTCATTCCATAATGTCTCAGGTACTTTAGCATGTGGATTTGAATTCTGGCTGTACCTTAGAATGACCTAGGAAGTTTCTAACTAATATTTCCACTCAGGTTCTACCCTTGGTGAAACCTGGCCCTGATTCCCACTTCCTCTAGCCACACCCTACCACTTCAGTTACCACTCAGTTAATCCCCCAGAGGGGATTAATTCACTGATTGGGTTAATACTCTTATAACCCAATCATTTCTCCTCCGAACCTTCTTGTGTTTGTCTCACACGTGTGCTTTTGGGAGACACCTCACATCCAAACCGTAACAGGTGTCTCGGTAACTCTAGCCCTCCAACCTGACCCAGTGTTCCTCTCAAGTCAAAATGCTTTCTCCTTGTGGTTTTGAAAACCCTGTCCTTGTCTCATTCCTGTTGCAAGCTGAATATGGAGAAGAATGATGTGATTCTGATAAGTTTTTGTCTTGTTTTGCCTTCAGTATGGAATTGTGCTGGATGCAGGCTCTTCTCACACAAGTTTGTACATCTTTAGCTGGGCATCTGAAAAGGAGAACGACACAGGGATAGTGCAACAGATAGAAGAATGCAAAGTGTCCGGTAAGGTGAAGAAAAGGGAAGGGAAGACGGTGGAATGTGGGAACACGAGAGTCTATGCAGGCAGAGCAGAAGAGGAAAAGGAGAACCAAATACAGGACACTGGATGAAGAACACCGTGGAGCTGCTACTGTTACTTTTTGTGATTATAAAAATATCAAAATCCTTAATGATCAAGCCTTTAATGAATAAGCAAATCTATAAATAATTGAGGGGTTGATGGTGTAGCTCAGTGATAGAGTGCCATGTTTAGAATGCACAAGGACCCAGCAA